CCATAGTCTGTCATTTCATCCAGGGCAGGGCCTAGACCCTCCCCCAAGAGTTCAGGGTGAGAGTGCATCTCACATTGTTGGATTGGAGTCCAAAGTCCGTGTGTATACTCGGGATGAGTACTGATCTACTGCCCAAGGCTCAATAGATTACCTAGGCCTCCTCACTGACACCCACATTCAGGGGGGTCTTGATCAGTCCCGTGCTGGATTCCCATGCTAATGTCTGGGATTCAAGAGTTAACCTTTGTCAGGTTAGCTGTTTCTGGAGGTTAAACCAGCCCAGTCTTAATCCCTTTGGTCATCAGTCCTCCCTCTCTGTTACTGGCTTTCTTGAGTTCAGCTCAGTGCTTAGCCATGGGAGTCTGCCTCGTCTTCCATCAGCCACTGAATGAAGTTTCTGTTTCCCAGACTCTCTGGCCATGGGATTGTAGGCTGGCACTTCCCCAGATCTATGTCTAAAATCCATATATGAGAGAGTACATGCCATGTTTCTCTTTTTGTGACTGCGTTACCTCACTCAGGATGGTTTCTTCTAGTGTCATCCATTTGCCTGCAAATCTCAGGATTCCATTGTTTTTTTTCTGCTGAATAGTACTCCATTGTGTAAATGTACTACATTTTCTGTATCCACTCTTCGGTTGAGGGGCATCTAGGTTGCTTCCAAGTTCTGGCTATTACAAATAATGCTGCTATGAACATAGTAGAACAGACATCCTTGTTGTATGTATCTTTTGGATATATGCCTAAGAGTGGAGTTGCTGGGTCTTGTGGTAGGTTTATTCCCTATTTACCAGATCTTTTTGGCTTGGTTTCATTGGGGGCTTTCCCCCCAGGCCATCCTTGGAATTCCTGAGTTTAAATGGTCTTCCTAACTTAGTCTCCCAAGTAAGTGGAACTAAAAAATATTAACTTTACCCTTATACACTTTATGCATGGCCACAAATTCTACCATAATTCTTAAAAATCAAAAGCAGCATGTGTGCACTGCTAAGAAATACAAGTTGAGAAATACAAACAAGAAATCTTTATGTGAATATATAGTCAGAATAAACCCCTCTCTATGCTGAGTTTACAGATATTTGCCACAATTTCTAGCTGTTGTGTAGATACTGGGGATTGAGCTCAGGTTTTCATGCTTGTACAGCAAACACTTTCCCAACTGAGCCATTTTCCTAGTACCTGCTGTCACATTTTATTAATGAATATTTTCCAAAATACAGAAAAGGATCCCAGTGAACACTAATAAAACCACCATTTAGTCTACAGGGGTTAAGATGGAACTATATTTAGTTTCTCACATATATATCCTTTTAGCCGCCCACCAATCCAATGGCTTTCAATTGTTTATTAGTAGATGTCAATTGTACATCGTGCTAGGTTTCATAAAGACTTTTGGTTTTTGAGACAGGGCTTCTCTGTGTAGTTCTGCCTGTCTTGGAACTCACTCTGTAGGCCAGGCTGTCCTTGAACTCACAGACATCCACCTGCCTCTGCCTCTCGAGTGCTGGGATTAAAGGCATGTGCTATCACACCTGGCAAGACATTTTTCATACAAGTATGTATATCCTGTACTTTGACCATACTTTCCATTCGGACTCCTTGCTTCTCACTGTCCTTCCCCCAACAGTCTTGCTTCTACTTTGATGTCATATGTACAAATGATTTTATGTATAGTAAGATCTAAAGTCCACAAATGAGATAAAACACATGGTATTTGTTTTTCTGCATCTGCCTTATTTCACTTAATATAATGATCTGTAGTAGTTGCATCCATTTTCTGGCAAATGACATAATTTTATTCCTTATGAAACTCCACTAACACATACACACACACACACACACACACACACACACACACACACACACACACACTTTCTTATCTACCTGTCAGTTGATACAACCCAGGGCTGATTTCATAATGGCTGTTGTGAATAGTGATACAATAAACATAGATGGGCATGTAGTCTCTATGGTGTGCTGACTGGAATCTTTCATGTATATACCTAGGTGCTGGGTCAGTATTTGAAGTATTAGCATACTTGATTTCAACTTATACTACAGAGCCATAACTAAATACCATGGTGCTGACACAAAAACAGACATGTAGATTGATGAATAGAATATAGGACCTAGAAAACACATACAGCCTTACCCAACTAATTTGCTTACTTTTTGCTTTTTTGAGACAGGGTCTTCTGTAGCACAAGACAACCCTGAACTCCTGATCCTGTCTCTATCTACTAAGTGCTGGGTTTACAGATGTGCCATCAAGCTTTACTTAGCCACTTGATTTTTAACAAAGATGCTAAAAACATACATTGTAGAAAAGACAGTTCTTCAACAGATGGTGCCAAGAAAACTGAATATCCAATGACTTTTAAAAATGTATTTTTAATTACGTGTATGAGTGTATATCTGTGTATGGGTTTGAGCACGTGAGTGCAATTGCCTTAGGATCAGAGACACTGAATCACCTTGGAATTGGAGTTAACAGGTGGTAGGAGATACTCTGGATGCTAGGAACTGAACTCTGCACGACTACATGCCCTCAACCACTGAGCCCTTTCGATGACTTAATACATTTCAAAATCAGTTGCAGGCTTTATCATACATCACCTCCTCAAGAGGTTAGTACTTGTTTGACCACCACCTCCTGATAGGTAAGCACTCAGCCACTAACCTACATCCCCACATCCCCAATGTTGACTCACATCCTAACTTTTTCATACCGTGGTCTTAATGGTACAGTGGGATTTTCATATTAGGAAAATACATTTAAAGCTTAGAATATACATGTGGAAGGAAAATAAAAGAGTCCAAATGAAAGAGAGCAGAAAATGAAGGGTCCTATTCCTATTGGGTGGTTGATAAGGTTGTACCACGGCAGAGGTCTTGGAGAACACAAGGCTATGGAAGAACCAAGGAAAAAGAGCCAAGGATGTCAAACCATGTATTGTAGCAGACAGCATGCTGGGCACTTTACACATCATGTTAGTGATGCTTAGAACAGTGACAAACACCATCTTCGTGGAAGAGAAAAACCTGCCCTTTGCAAAGCGGGCATGTTACAGTCTCACGTGTGTTCCATACTCTCACATAATCTTCACCATTGCCTTTGTCTGAGACCTAGCACCTCCCTTTGGAAACCTTCCTTAAAAGCCGCCGAGGCAGGTCCCCCTCTCCGGACTCCTCGGTCTTTGTTGCATCTAGTCTCACACTGATCCCCGTGTTGTCCCTGTGTGTCTCCTCTATTGCACTATGAGCTCCTTGAGGGCAGGGACTTCTCTGAAGCCTAAGTTCCTAGTACTGGGATCTGGAAGACATTGTTGAATAAAAAAAGCTTATGTGACTTGTCCGAGGTTACATAATCTTAAGTGAAGAAGTGAAGTCAAAGCTAGGTCCTGTAACTCTAAAACATCACTCCGATTGCCTTTTGTTGACCTGCCTAACCCAACCCTTTCTTTTTTCCCCTACAAGGACTGAGGAAGAGAAGAAAGACTGGGTCCAGGTAACACCAAAGGCTTTGTGGTAGGGGTCTGGAAGGACATTATCAGGTCTCTTAGGGGCTGTTATACTTTCCCTTAACTGTCTAAACAGCATGGGCCTGGACACCAGGCCTCCAGCAGATGCTATTATTACTCTCTTACAGATAAACAAGCTGAAATTCTGAGTCAGACACAAGCATTATTTTAAAAAGCCAGCTCCTCTGAACCAGGCTTTATAAAAGCTTGCACCTAACCAGTAGCCAGGAAAGCCGTCTGAGGTTTCAGCTACCACTCCCCTTTCCACATTTTATAATTACTAGATGTAGACCTGGATTTCGGGAGGGATTTTCTCAGAGTCATATGAATGTGTCAGGGCCAGAGCTGGGTCTAGAACTCCAGGCTACGGCACCAGGAAGGTGTGGTGAGGGCGGAGATAGGTGGGTGTCTTATTTCTCTCATTTCTCATACCTCTTCACCAGGCAATCAACTCCACCCTGCTGAAGCATGAACAGACCCTGGAGACTTTCAAACTGTTGAACTCAACAAACAGAGATGATGAAGATACTCCCCCTAACTCTCCAGTAAGTCTTACTCTCCCCCAGTACCGGGATCCCTTTGAGGCGCTACGTTCCCACCTTCCCTCGAAGTGATCTTCTTTTTTCTCAGAAAATAGGGAGTAGAGAGGCAGTGCAGACCCCTAAGAAGCAGTCTTCTGCTGATAGGGATGCAGAAATTGTACCCCAGAAAGTAAAATGACTTACCTCCATTAGCAGCATGGTTGGGGCAGAGCCAGACCTTCTGTATGTGTGTGCTCCCTAACCAGTGATGACTCAGGCCTTGGAGCAGAGGCAAGGAGGGCTGGCTGAACTGGGGAGCTGTCTCTGACCCAGGACCTAACCCTCCCCCTAGAACGTGGATCTCGGGAAGAGGGCACCTACGCCTATCCGGGAAAAGGAAGTCACCATGTGCATGCGCTGCCAAGAGCCTTTCAATTCCATCACCAAACGCAGGCACCACTGCAAGGCCTGTGGGCATGTGAGTGTTGGGAGGCAGGGGCACAGCTAAGGTGGGGGCAGGCTGACAGCCTAAAAGTTCACTTCTGATTGGGTACCCTCTGAGGAGGAGGTGGCTGCAGGTTGGCTGTGGTAGTTGGTACAGTGAAGGTAAAAGCCCAAGGCAATTAGGCTGTTCTTGCCCACTTGCTGCCCCAGGTGGTTTGTGGGAAATGCTCTGAGTTCCGGGCCCGCCTCATCTATGACAACAATCGTTCCAACCGTGTATGCACTGATTGCTATGTGGCCTTGCACGGAGCACCTGGGAGCAGTCCAGCCTGCAGCCAGCATACACCCCAGCGTAGGAGGTCCATCCTAGAGGTAAGAGTTCGTAACCACAATCCCCAAAGTGTGCCCTCCAGTTACTGACCCAGTGTAGTTGAGGTCTGAACATCTCAGACAGTAGGGTGCTATGTGCACTCACTAATCAGGTGATCTAGACTTGAGACAAGGACAATGAGTATAAGGGTTAAAAGAGTAATGTTTATTAAAGTACTCTACATATTACTGATCAACCCATATTCTTATGCTTAATTTACATAGGAACAAAAACTAAAGCCCAGAGAGGGTATTTGGCTAGGTTGCACAGACAGAAAAACACTGCTAGGTAGGTTTTGTTTTATCAGCAAAGTCTCACTGCATAGCCTAAGCTGGCTTTGAATTTTCAATTCTCCTGCCTCGGCCTATTTGTATTATGAAATAGGATAAATAACACAACATTTAAAAAAGACATAGTCCTTTACCCAGAAGCTGTTAATACTGGTGCTTCCTATATTTCTAGGACAATTTGGGGGTGATTGTTTATTAAATGAATCGTGGTGTCCCACATTTAAGGGAGCTTACTCTGCACCAGGACTGTAAATTGCCTTGTTTATGCTAATTGGAATCTCATCAACAGTCTCTGTGCTCTTCTCACAAGTCCTGCATTTACATCTATTCTTAGGATTGTGGGGCAGATGGTGTTAACCACCCACTCATCCCTTTCATCAGTATTAGGACTTCTCAGAGCAGGCAATGCATGTGTAATGAAAGATGAAAGCTTAGCTGTGAATGTCGATTACCTGGCCAGCGTTTCAATGCCCCACTGTGGTCCACGAGCCGTTAGAGGCAGCAGCCATACCTAGCTTGCTTACCTAAGTGACAATGGCTAAACCATCTCTCATATGCTCTGCTACCTTTGTCTGACACATAGTCCATACGCTATGGGGCTATTTAAGGCAAGAGCAAAGTCTTCTGTCAACACTGACGTACCGTGTCTCTGATCACAGAAACAGGCCTCAGTGGCTGCTGAGAACAGCGTCATCTGCAGCTTCCTGCACTACATGGAGAAGGGTGGGAAAGGATGGCACAAGGCATGGTTTGTGGTTCCTGAGAATGAACCCTTGGTGCTGTACATCTATGGAGCCCCTCAGGTGTGCATCCCACTCCTTCAGGTTTCTCTGACCGTCCGACAATGCCAGGCTGCCCCTCCCCTGTGTGCCTTGTCCCTTGGGGACAGGGTGAGGCTAGCGAAGGGAAAAATCAAAAGTCCCATCCTTATGTGACATTACGTAGAGACAAGTGTTTGGAGGCCAAGTATGGAGGGAAAATGAGGGTAAGGTGGGGAGTCTAGCTTTGTGGAGAAAACAGGATTGGAGACAGGCACCGTTAGGCCTGACTGTGCAGATGGAGGAAATAACCAAAGCCCTGAATCTATAATAGTAAAGACTAGCAGTTGGTTTGGGCACGGGAGGAGACATATGTAAAGTAGCCTGCGTCTGGTCCTAGTGCAGACATCTTCCTGTTCATACAGTGAAGGCGAGGGTCTTCAGCAGAGGAAACAACAAAAACAAAGTTGTTTCACTGGGCAGAGGGCACAGCTCAGCCCCCTAGGTGACACTAGCTCTGTCTCTCTTCCCTAGGATGTGAAAGCCCAGCGCAGCCTGCCCCTCATTGGCTTTGAGGTGGGGCCTCCTGAGGCAGGGGAGCGGCCTGACAGGAGGCACGTCTTCAAGATCACCCAGAGCCACCTAAGCTGGTACTTCAGCCCAGAGACAGAAGAACTCCAGCGGCGCTGGATGGCTGTGCTTGGCAGGGCGGGCCGTGGGGACACATTCTGCCCAGGGCCCACACTGTCTGAGGACAGGGAGATGGAGGAGACACCAGTGGCAGCCGCAGGAGCCACTGCTGAAACTCCTGAAGCCTCCCAGACCCGAGACAAGACCTAGAGGGTTTGGGGGGACGGGAAACTCCTGCCCCACACTCCAGCTGCCCATGTTCAATTGGGGGCACCAGCCCACTCCCAATGCAGTCAATACTTGAATTCCCACCACGGGCACTTTCAATCCCGAATGCTGGGTCTTGGGTTTTTTAATTCATCTTTTCACAAAATGTGGGCTTTTTAAAAACTATTCCTACATTGATGTTAATTTTTTAAATCCATGTCCCCAGGGAGGGCAGGAGCTAATTGCTAGAATCACTTGAATTAGGCTATTTCCTTCCAACACCCCACAGATCCTACTTCCACCCAGTTCCCCACAAAAGCACCAGAGGCAGGAGACCAAGTGCCAGCTCTGTTACTGACCCTGAAACCCCAACCCACCCTTGCCTCCTCAGCCAGTGTCTTCACATGTATGACTTTACATGGGGTGGTGACTAGACCCTTCTTGCCTTTCCCATGGCTTATAGCTTCTACCTAGCCCCAAAGCAATCCAGTATTTTATCGTCCAGACCCATGGCAGGGCCACTGGGCAGGACGGGAATGGGAGGGGGGGGGAGGACAATGGATACTGTTTTTTAAAGAAAATACAGTTTATTTCAGGCTTACAGTAACTTTCAGAGCACTGCTATGGTCCGTCCGTTTGTCCAAAGTCCTAGACTACTGGGGGGGGAGGGTGTGTGGGTACAGAAACTACTCTTTCACTGAAATCTGAAGCTCAGCTCTCAGAAGGATGATTCCAAGGTTAAGTCATGGATTAAACAAGAAGGTGTTATGTTATTAAGGTCTTAAGCTTCATCCCTGGACTTAAAACAGCCCTACTTTCCGAAGTTCACCACTTAGTCAAGTCCTTCAAACTCTCAAGAGTATCAGGGTGGGAGCATTCACAGAAGGATGCAAGTTCTGGGCAGTAAGGGAGGCTGGGGTGGGGACATTGGGGAGGTACCACATCATCCAACTGCATGTGTATCTCACTAGTCCCAATCCAGCCAGCCTCCCACTGTGGAAAATTCTCATCCTTTCCACAAATGTACCTGCCTACTGTCCACAAGTCTGGATTCTACTCCAACCACAGCCACACTCATCACCCACTTCACATTCACTGCAGCTAGGAGGCACTTCTCTCTCATACGGTACCTTAAGGATCAAGGGGGCTGAAATAGGTCCCATCAACACAACCAAGGATCCTAGGGCTTTTCTTCCCTAGTAGGAATATGGTTATCAAAACAAGGTAGGGATATGGTTATCAGGACAGAGGTGTATAGTCCTCCAAAACAGCCCCTATAACTCTTTCATAATACTTAGCAAACAAGGGCGCAAACCATTTACTGCCCTATTCATTTCTTTCTACGGACAATGGTCCAACCATCTTCTACTATATCCTCTTCCTTAATAGTCTGGGGGTCTGGATCAGAGGGTTGAGGCTGGGGGCAGACCACATCCGTTGTGGCCCCATCATTTGTAGCTGTCACCTGGAAGGAAAATATAACAGAGAGCACTAAGTAATTACCCATGCTCTGCTCCCAACTTTCCCACGACTACGTGAATGATCTTTCTTGATAGTACCACCACAATCCTACAACCATCATCACTTCCCTGGGAATCTAGCTCCTCTTCCAAAAACTTAACCCTTGAGACACCCGTGCCCACACACGCACAGGCACCTCTTTCACCTCCATTTCTTCTACGCTGTCCACATCATCTTCATCCACACCAGTTTCTTTGGCTGTCTTAAGTGGGGTAGCCGTGACTTTGCACTTTTTTTGGTTGATGTTAGAGGTCATCTCCTGCAGAGCAGCCCCATCACCCTTCTGGAAGTGGTGGAACATGGTCTGTAGCTGCTGACTCACCTACCAAGGAAACATCCAATCAGTTTGGAGTTTTCAGACAATCTACCATAAAACCAGCCTCTGTTTAAAGCAGAGTAGAGAGGGGGTTGGGATTTTACAGAAGAAAATGGGGCTTTTTTCTCCCTGAGAAGTTCATCCAAGCAGCTGGGAGCAGTGAAGGATTCATATCATGTGGGGAGGCCTCTGAGGCAGGACTGTTAGTTTAAGGTAGATACTGTCAAAATAAAACAGCTAAGAGTGGTGGCACATGCCTTTAATCCCAGCACTAGGAAGGCAGAGGCAAGCAAATGTATGAGTTCGAGGCCAGTCTGGTCTACATAGCAAGTTCCAGGACAGCCAGGGCAACATAGTAAGACCCTGTCTCAAAAAATAAAGCAACAACAAAGTCCAGTGGAACAATCACAAATCTAGGGTTTAGGTGAGGGTATGAAGCTTTGAATGAGGGCCTGCTGGAAGAGAAGGTACTAGAATTGCACACCTATAATCCCAGTACTTGGGAAGCTGAGGCAGAATGACTGCTATGAATTGGAGGTTGGCCTGGGATACACAGTACATTTCAAGCTGCCTAGGCTAAAGAGTAAAACACTGTCAAAAAAAGAAAGAGGGAGAGAAGATGCAAATGAAAGAATCTCACCAGGGTGAGCAGTGTTAATCAGAATAGGGATGGAATTTGATCTGGCCCAGCTTATGGCATGTGGGGAAAATACCTGGTTGAGAATAAACTAAAGAGAAATAAAAGTAATATTTGAAAATGCAATAGAAAATCTTGTCTATGCCTCAAGAAAAGAATGGTCAGAACCAAAAATCTTGTCCCAAACCGACAGTAGGGAGAAGAACGGGCAGGTGGGGGCTGACAGCTGTCTCCATATGCTCACCTGGGGCAGGCTCCCATCTTCCACAACTGTATCAAACTCAGTGGTCATCAGCTCTCGAAGGAAATCTTCCACCTCCTCCAGCTCCATGTCAGCTAAATAGGAAAGAACAGGACTCTTTGGCCAAAGACCAACATCATTAGCCCTGCCCAATATTCTTCACTACCTGCCTGCTGTATCTGCTTGGTAGGTAAAGGGGCAGTGAGTCTTTATTCACTAAAACACCCTCTTTCACCTTGCCTATTCTAACCGACCTCAGCTTGAGGTGTCCTTCAAATAGCCCCAGAGTCTTCGATTTCTCATTTCTAAAGAGAGGCTAATGCAGCTCTTTGGGGACTGTTAGGAAGACTCATCTAACACAAAGCTTGGCACAAGGGAGATGAGATGCCTAATATGAAATTGCTTCACTTCAGAGCTGAAGTATTGAAGGGTAGAGACCCTACACAGCTGTAGCTCCACTAATAACAGGAGTCCAGAGACTCAAGGGCCATGGGTAAGAAGAAATGGATACGGGACTTAATTTCGTTGTGTGCGCTGGGGATCAACCCCAGGGTCTGGCACATGCTGGGCAAACACTCAACCACTGAACTACACCCTTAGCTGAATGTACTACTTTTAAAAATGAAATCACAACCTTAATAGCCACCATCAAACTTTGTGACTCTAAGCCCTGTTCACTGCACCTTAGTTATCTTACGGGTCCATGCTCTGTTTTCTGAATGAAAGACTAGCTTTCTCTTCCCTACGTGCTTTCTCCCAGACACAACTCTTCCACACCGTGCTTTTACCTGCCATTAAAATATAACAGCTTCCAAATTTCTCTTCCAGATGTTAAATAGGTGCTTCAAGTCCCCACATCCAAAGCCAAATTTATTATCCTGCCTTCCAAACCAGCATCCCATCCTCCAAGATCCCTCTAGCCAATGGAAGTTTCCTAATCTACCCTGCCAGCCACTCATCACAAATATGTCTCCCCAACTCCCTCTATGGACAAAACTCTTTTTTTCCTGACCATTGCCATTGTCATATTTTAGCCCTTATTTTCTAGACCAAAAATTGCCTTCTCATGAGTGTTTCTTTCTCATAGTCTACACTAACTACATTGTGAATTTTCTAACTAACAAACACCATCCTATTACTTACCTTAGAATCTGCTCATGAATTTTATTACCTATTTTGAAGCTTGCCTTTGAGAAATACTCTGCTGAGTTTAAGGGGTTGTTTTGTTTTGTTACAGGTTATCATATAGCCCAGGCTAGCATCCAACTGTGTAGCTCAAGGGTAGCCTAGAACTAGTGACTGGTGATTCCTCTGCCTTTATCTCCTCGATGCTAAGATTACAAGCATGAATCATGATGCCTGATTAATGTGGCTCTGCGGATTGAAACCCAGGCCTCATCCCCAGCTCGATTTTCCTGAGTTTTAATAAGGATTTCCATAGAAACCTAATGGAAAACAAAGCCAGGATCAATGGCACACACCTGTAATCCCTGCATTCAGCAAAATGAAGCAGGGAGAACATGAATTCCACAACAGTCTGGACTATCAAAGGAGATACTGTCCCCAATTACTACTACTACTACTACTATCAGCTGAGAAAAAAGCTTATGTAATTTGACTGGAGAAACCTTTTCTGCATTGAATATCTTAACTAGACAAGTCTTCTATAGTTTGAATTTTATAAACACTGGCCTAAAGGATATAAAGGCACACAAGGCCTTCCATTCCTTACCCTGTAGGGTCTTTGTACATGCACACTCATACTCTACCACACTAACATTCCCTTCCTACAATGCAGCAAGCCCTTTCAAAATGCAACACTCATCTCCTCAACTCCCTTGAGTGTGCTTTATGTCTCTAGCTCCTTCACCGGTTTTCATTCCTTAAGACCCTCCCCAATCACTACTCTGTCAAAAGCTGAAAACCAAAAAAAAAAAGGGTGGGTGGGGGGCTGCCAGCCTGGTTTACAGAGCTTCTAGGACAGCCAGGGCCACACAGAAAAACACTGTCTCAAAAAACAAAATAAAACCAAAAACCAAATAAAAGGCCTCTCCTCAGGCTCAGATAACTCAAGAACTCTGAGCACCTCTTTATCATAACACTTATCATCCACTAAACTAGGACATCAATGGAGACTTTTATAAAAACCATAGCATGTACTATTCCTCCTAGGTCCTTTTGTTCTCTCATTCCCCACAAAGACAACAAAGGTGCAGAAGTAGAAGTAGCCATGTGTGGTCACTGAGCACAGACACTTCAATTGTGGCTAGTCCCAATTAAGAACTCCAGATTGTCAAATGTAATTCTAAAAAGGTGTAAAATACTTAATTCTTATGACACACTGAAATATTTGGGAAGACGATTTTGCCTGTGCACTATGTGCATGCCTGGTGCCCACAGAGGACAGAAGGTGGCGTCAGATTGCCTGAAACTGGGTTTACAGACAGTTTTGAGTCAACACATGGAACTGAACCCAGGTGTCGTCTGCGAGAACCAATGCAGAGCCATCTTTCCAGTTCTCTGGAAAAGCAGGAATGGGTGTGGAGCCAAGGCTGGCTTCAAACTCAGAGTATTTCTCCTGCTTCAGTCTCCCTGGTGCTAGAAGTACAAACATGGCCCATGTGCTAGACTGGATGTGAGCTTAATACTATTATATTTGCTTCTTTCATCCACTTACCTAGTCATTCATTTGTGGCAGTGGGGGACTGAACCTAGAGTCTCACAGTAGTAGGTAAGCACTTCCACAAACCTATATCCCCAACTCTACTTTTTATTATAAGACAAGGCCATGGTAAAGTTGTTCAGACTTACAGGCCTGTACCACAGGGCCTGGCCTTTTACTTTATTATAGGTACTGCTGTTGGTTTTGGTGGTGCTAGGGATGAAACCCAGAAACATGAGCATGCTAGGACAGTGCTGTACCACTGGGCTACACTCCTCATACAACAATGTTTAAGTTATGTTTACTTGTGTAGGGGGAATCAGAGGACATCTTAAGTGACTCAGCTATCTCCTTCCATGTGGTCCCAGCTATCAAACTGGAATCGTTATGTTTGTCGGCCTTTGCCCACGGAGCCATCTCTCCCTCCCTTGATTCAGCAATTTTTTTTGATAAATCAATTTTTTAAGCTACATGATATGGCTCGCCCAGTTCTATTAGTCGGATCTTTTCATAACCATTCTAGGAACTAAGAAAGTGACTCTCTGGAAGGTAAAAATGTGTCGTCCAGAATCATAGCACTATTCAGCGTCATTGCCTGCAAAGCACTCGAAACGCACGATTCTGATTCCAACGTCACCATTCATTCGACGTGGGAAAGCGCGGGCTCTCTGGGACGAGGCTCCGCCGCTCCCAAACCATACAGACAGACAGCAATGTCTCACACTCACTCACCATTGGCGATGAAGTAATCCTCCACTGCACCCCCCAGCCATTCGGCCTTCTCCTGGCTGTGTACGCCCCCGAAGCCATTCTCCACAGCGATCTGTGAACACAGGCCCAAGCCGACCATGACAGCATGGAAATTGGAGTGGCGTGGCCTGCCCTGGCCTGGGAGTCTGCCGCCTACACCGCCCCCGCCGAGGCTCAGGCGCCTCGCCCGGCCAGCTCCTATTTTGCCCCAGCCCTAAATGTGACCCCCACCGTGGCCTCACTCACCTGCAAAGCAGGCCAAGCCTGCAGAGCCGCGCGGACTGCAGCTCCGAAGAGCGCTCGCACGTCTTCCGCTGCGCCCGCCATCATCCCTTTAGATCACGTGGCTCCCAGGAAGCCTAATGGCGCGGCCCACTTCGTCAGGCCAAATGAGCCGAAAACCGATCCTCAGAACGCAGATTCATTGTCTGCTGACCTGGCGGCAAGACCAGAAGAGTCGAAAATTGTGTCAGTGGTAGATGATGCCTCTTACTGCAGTAAATACTAATAACTAAAGTTGAACCTGGAGCAGGAAACTTAGGGAGCACAGCTGAAAAAAAGAGGGAGGGAGAAATGGGGAGAGGAAGGAGAGGGAGAGAAAGAACCTACAGCTGAGGGGCCCTAAGAGGCTCAATGAATAAAGGCAGCTGCCCCTATGCCTGATGACCTGGGTTCGATCCCTAAGCCCCACATGATGGGAACATACAACCAATTCCTGCAGTTTCCTCTTTCACCTCAACGTCCTTCTGGCATGAACAGGCACGTGTGCTCACGCACAATTGGCGCACGCCTTTAATCCCAGCACTCAGGAGGCAGAGGCAGGCGGATCTCTGTGAGTTTGAGGCAAGCCTGGTCTACAGAGTTCCAGGACAGCCTCCAAAGCCACAGAGAAACCCTGTCTCGAAAAACAAAATAATAATAATAATAATAATAATAAATAAATAAATGTAATTTTTAAAATTTAAAACTACATTTCAAACAGCATCATAACACCTGTATGGAACACTACTGCCAACTGCAGCAAAATACACATTTGTGTCTTAGTAATACAATTTCGTCTTTTTTCTCAAATCCTGAAACAACTACGTTCCCCAGACTTCCTGGGAAAGTACAGGCGAAGGAGCTGTTAATCCCAAAGATGGGAGAAGACAGACCATTGGCCTAAATTATCATGGCCAAATTAATTAAAGCAAGAAATTAATTGCAACAAGCTTTTCTATTCGTGCACACGGGCTGACTCCCCCTAAAATGGGGTTTAAGAGGTCAGCATTGGATGTGAAGAAGACAAAAGTTTTTATAGTTCAGGGTAGGGGATTTCCAAAGGGGGAAAAGTAGGTGGATTACAGGAGCAGAACATAAGCATAACAAGTTAGTCATAACCACCTCCTGAAACATCCATGATTGCAGGGTGGTCATAAAGTAGTCATAAGTACAGGTAATCATAACCACCTTTTGAAACAAAGGTAGGATTGCAAGATGGTTATAAACAACTTTTTGAAACAAAGGCATGGTTGCGGCTTCCTGGAACAGGCAGTACAGAGCTATGTGTAGTTAAGGTTACAGATGGGGGGGGTAGCCCAATCCTTGAGAAACAGGTTTAATCATAAACAGGAATGAACCTAGTTTGCCTTTACTATAAGACGGCTTTTAAACCTAAAATGGAGCCTGGTGGTGGTGGCACACGCCTTTAACCTCAGCACTCAGGAGGCAGAGGCACGGATTTTGATGAGTTTAAAGCTAGCCTGGTCTACAGAGTGAGTTCCAGGACAGCCAGAGCTACACAGAGAGATCCTATCTCTAAAAGCCAAAGGCAAAAAAAGCCTAAGATTGAGGCAGGCTGGTTCTTCACAACACACAGGACAGCGGAGACATGCAAGGTTGACGTAGGAAGTAGAAGAGGGTATGGCTACGTTTGCTTTGCAAGGCAAAGAGATGAGAAACGGAACCAGAGGGCAGAAGAGTGCCACCATAGCTTCTGAGAGGGCAAAGCCCAGCATCACAGAACTGAGGAACTAGGAGTCAGATGGATTTCCTGGCAGGCAGACAGACAAGGAAAGATGTCATGAAGAGGTAATAAAGATGTAAGCAAGATAGAAGCTTGCTTCTGCACCTTCCAACAGAACTGGCTTCCTTCTCACTCCCCTAACCTGAGATAAAAGCCTGGCAATTTAAAAGCCTTGTAGGCTTTTCCTCCTGCCAGTAAGATCCCTGCTGATGGCCTGGCTCAACCAAGTCAAGGCCAGATCAGGACGTGTTACACCACAGTTGTGGGCCAATCACCCATCATGTCTTTCTTCAAGCTGGCCATCCCTAAATTAGGGGAGGAAGACCCCTCAAAGACGTAAAGAACCACAAGCCAACAAAGAGAAGCTGGGCTTTGTTTCCCCCCCCCCATCTGTTTTGCTCTGTGTGCTTGCTGAATGTGTGTGCTTTATCACACCTAATAAAGGTTTTTCTTCACCAGGCTGGTTTGGCCTGCTGCGTTTGAGAATTTCCCAGCTGTTGACTATCGAGCTTGAGATTCTTCCTACTTTTTACTTCTTTAAGTGACAGAGAAAACAAACCCAATCAAAACCCCAGTTGGTAACACAACAGCTGCTGTTTCAGGAGAGGGGTCCCAGAATAACCAATGATAAAGCTCTCAAACACAGAACCATTTCAAGTCCCAGAGCCAAGTCCTTTGGGGGCTGACACATTGGCAGTTGGCTATACAGATATCCCAGCCCCATTGGACTTGGCTGTATGGATGTCCTTTGGGATTGCTTTGGTTTGGAGGCCTCGGCTACAGACAAATGAGGTCAAGGGATGTAGCACTGCCAAGCTGCCAAGGTTCTCATTTGTCATGGTCTCTGATCAGTTCAGTGCCACTGAAGGTAGCAGAGGGTGCAGTAGCTAAGAGGTGCCGCTCACTACGAAGCTGGTAGGGATTAACTTGGAGCAGGCATGTTTTCAGAGGAGAGAGGCTGAGGTGATAGAGCTGCTCCCAGTCAGAGAACTAGAATGCACATTTTAACAGCACAACACACACACACACACATTTTTTTCTTTTTTAAAAATGATTTTATTTACATATTATAGTGTTCTGTCTGCATGTATGCCTGCAGACCAGCAAACGGTGCCAGAGCTTATTACAGATGGTTTTGAGCCATCATGTTGTTGCTGGGAATTGAACTCAGGACTTCTGGAAGACCGGCTAGTGTTCTTAACCACTGAGACACCTCTCCATTACACAAACATATTTTTCATTTATCTATTTGTGGTGTGTGTGTTTCTCTCTTTTCATCAAGTGAGTTCCACAATAGAAATCAGGTCACGTCTCAGGCTTGTGGTAGATGGTTGTACTTCCTGAGTTTTTCTCCATCTTCTCTTCTTCTTCTTTGCTACTCCCATCTTCTTCTTCCAGGGGCTTGCTGTTATCAACACAAAGACACAACTCTCACCTCAAAGGCAACAAAAGACAGTTCATTCTTGTATCAAATATGCATGACCACGACCATGATTCAGGTTGCCCAGAAAGACATTTTTTGTGGAAGTGCTTAAATGACATTTTAGTGAAATAGAACAAAGGATAAGCCAAATCCTTTGATAGGGACCACAGATAATGGGTTGAAGGAAACTCTGCATATGTTTCAGATACTATCTGATGATATTCTTTTGTTTTTGTTGTTTTTCAGACAAGGTTTCTCTGTGTACCAGCATTGGCTGTCCTGGAACTCGCTCTGAAGACCAGGCTGGCCTTGAACTCACAGTGATTGGCCTACCATTGCCTCCCAAGTGCTGGGATTAAAGGTGTGTGTCACCACTGATCAGCCTGACAACATTCTTACCTTTGGATTTTTGGATGCTCACTGTCTGCTAAGAATGTATTTTAAAGATTTTGATAGTCACAAGATTTTTGGTTCAGACACAAGGGAAGACAAGGAATGGTTCGTATCTCAAGGTGATTTGTCTCTCCCCTGTAACATTGTAAGTCTCCATAATCACAAGGGTCAGTCATTTGGACTTGTAGAACCTTCTATACAGATGTAGTTTTTCTTTTCTCTAGGAACTTCAGTTTACACTGTGGAGCCATGACTGGGATTGCATACTGACACTCCTAACCTCACCCTCCTAAATCCTAGGGTAATCATGCAACACCACACTTAGCACATATTAGACCTTTTCCAGAAGTTCACAAGAACAGTCTCAAAAATATGCCATATAATAGTCCGTATGGCAGACCACAATAGGTTTTAGAGGACTGAAGGCTGACCATGCTTCTACCTACCTTGTCTAGCATGCTGGGTTCCTGGAGTTTTATCCCCAGATGGCAAAAGAATAAATTTGAAAGAATACAAAGCAAAATGAAATTAGTAAGAGAAAGAAACTTGTGAAATCCATAAGTCTGTGTAAACTTATGTGCTCCATTTTGTGGAAATGAAAATCAAAGAAAAAAATCAAAGGGAAATTGGAAAACACACTGAAATGAATTTTTAAAACATAGAATACCAACATTTATGTAATAAAGCTGAAGTACTAAGGGACAAATTTTTACCAGGGAAACAAGAAAGATCAAGCTGCAAATATTTAAAAAGTGCCAGCATGGACAGACAGTCCAGCACTGCTCCCAGAAACCCCAGTTCCATCCCCCTCAAGTAAAGTCAGACCCCTGACTACACTGCAGGAAAGATAGAGCTTAAGAGTGACACAACATTATGAAAAGATCATCCTGTGTTCTATGATTGTCATGACATTGTCATTATGATATATGATAAGCAAACTTAGTACTTATTTAACTACAAGCATTTAGAGGGAGGAACTCTTAGGAAAGGAAGAGTTTGTTCTTTTGAAGAAACAACAAAATGACTCCTAATGACATTCTGCTATCTTCACAGATCGGTGCCTCACTCAGTCACTACTAGAGAAGGTTCCTCTTGCAGTAAATGGGAACAAGGACAGAGAACCACATCTGGACAATGTGTAGAGAGTGGGAGAGTTTTGAACACCCTGTCCCTTTTATTCTATCAAGACAGGGTTTCTCTGTGTAGCTTTGACTATACTGGAACTAGCACTTGTAGACCAGACTGGATGCGAACTCACAGAAATTCACTTGACTTTACCTCCCAAATTCAGTGATTAAAGATAAGGGTCACCACCACCTGGCCTTTACTTTTCTTTTTCGTGTCTGTCTGTGTAGCTAGGTGGGAGGCCCCCTTCTTTACCTTTCCTTTTCTCTTTTAATCCTTCTGTTTATTCTATCTGGCTACCAACCCCACCTGGACTTTCTCCTGATTTGCTATTGGCCACTCAGCTCTTTATTACACCAATCATGTATTTTAGACAGGTAAAGTAACACAGCATCACAGAGTTGAACAAATGCAACATAAACGAATGCATC